CAAACCTACTCAATTACAGATGCATTTACAGGCTCAGATAGGAGATGAGCAAAAAATTGACTGAGCTAAAGCGTTTTTGAAAAAAAATTGCCTCTCAGCAATTACAGTTTTTTTTTTAAAAAAGGGCTCTCCCAATTTTGTTTTGCCACAAAAGCGAACCATCCAAACAATACATGGGTTTCAGAATAATTTGGAAAAATTTGCCACAATAGCGACCCTAGGTACTAATCAGGACCCAACATTATAATATATATATATATATATGTATATATATAAATATATACACATGATATAGCTATATATAAATATATAAAAACAAAATATATAGTTATATAATGATATATATATATATATATTTATTTATAGTTGTAAGTTTTTTTACATAGTTATATATATATATATACATAGTTATATCTATACTTATATATATATATATGTATATAGTTATATATATATATGTATAGCTGCATTAATACTTTTAAATATAGTTATAAAGATACTTACATATATATATGTATATATTACATATGTAAATATAGTTTGATATATAGTTCTTTGTTTTATAAATATATGTATCGAATTATATAGTTATTTAGTTATACATTTAAAGTGTTCAATTTGTAGATATATATATATACACATAATGTATATAGTTATTAAATATTGAAAATATTTTATAGTTGCATGAACTCTTTTATATACATATATACATATATACATATATACATATATACATATATACATATATACATATATACATATATACATATATACCTATATTTTTTTATACATATTTACATATATACATATATACATATATACAGATATACATATATACAGATTTACATATATACATATATACATATATACATATACATATATATATATATACATATATACATATATGCATGTATGCATGTATGCATATATGCATATACATATATATATATATTATGTTTTATATATATATATGTGTGTGTGTTATACTGGGTTCATGTTGTTTCTTGTCTCGGCTCCCCTGAAGTTGTCTCAGGTCGGTGTGCCGTGGGGAAGTGTGTATACAGGATATATATGATATTATTCCATTGGATCATTGCTTATTGTAAGACCACAAAACGCATAGGCACGCTGAACTTCACCTACATGAATCTACCATTTGTAGTCATAAACCTTCTTATTGTCTGTTTGTCCATTGCAGGGCACGCAACGCAGGGGCACACTGGTTGTCATAAACGTGTTTGTTTATTATGAGTATACTTGGTTTGATACTTGTGACATCCAAACGCAGTGGCATGCTCGGTCAAAGAGAATGTGTGGCCCTGGGTGTTTCAATGATTTTGAGCAGCACGACAGATCTTGTGCCAACATCGGTGTGCCTGCCATTTGGTGCTAGTGGGTTCAAGTTTGGGAGCTGGGTCGATGTTGTAACAAGTGCCGATGACAAGATCTTGTGCCAAATCGTGGTGTGCCTGTGGGGAATGGGGAGAGGCCCACATGGGCAGCGCCTATGACTTTAACTTACTGATGTATTTTTTGGCACTTAGGCACACGGTGCTTACCTGGCTATCACGGTCCCTTTGTCTCCCCTCTGTCTCCCTTACTCGCCCTTTGTCTCCTCTTCTGTCTCCTTTTGCTCTTGCCTGCAGCTGCTGCTTGGCTTGGTTTCCTCTTTTGCTCCACCGCTGAAAGCTCTTAAGTTTTACTGTTCTGAAAAGAATGCGAAAGCGTGTGGCTACCAAAGAGTATGTCAGGAGACTTAGGGGGTCAGTCTCCCAAAATTTGATTTCGGACCTCGTTTGCACCTCGTTCGGACCTCGTTTAAATTGCAGCCAGTCAAAACCCAGCCCGGAGAGGTTTTGGAAAGGCTTTGCAATGCCATGAAACTGTGGAGGATGATAGTTCTGACTGTTCAAACAGGAATATGGTTGCTAACTTTTGGTTAACAAACTTACATTAAACGCATAGTATTGCCTGCTTCAGAGTTAGTCCACTTTGACCGTCGGTGTGCCAATGGGATTTCCACCTGGCGGAAGATTATTGATGTCTGGCGTAAGCAAGGTGCCATGCGGCTGGCGCAAGTTCTAGTAAATGGGCGTAGGATCACGCCGGGGCTCGGGTCAGAGATGCTTAGCACGACTTATTTCGCACTAGGTGTGCCATTGGGAAGCAGATAATTAAAGTACCGAAATCAAACGAATCCATGTCCAGAGTCATGACAAGAAAACGAGGCGTGTGCTGCAGAATTGGCTTCTTTCCTCATTTGGATGGAAAGCAGCTGTTTTGCTGTCAATGCGTGTGTGCCACTGGCGGTTGCCAACTTTCAACATGGTTTTATCACCGAAGGAGATGGTATTAAATATGTGTTTCGCAATGGCACGGACACATTTTAACTACTTTGTTTGCCAAACAAACGATGGCGTGGTACCAGTGTGCCAATAGGATTTGGTCCTGGGGTAACTTCCGGTTTGCCTGGGGTAACCCTGTGTGCCATGGGGATGGGGTAACTTCTGGGTGCCTGGGGTAAGAAACGACGTCCGCCCAGTATGTGATATATTGTTTTAAATATATATATATATATACATACATGTTTATTTATGTGTAATGTCACGTACGTACACATTGTGTAAAGTCCCATGTTTGGGCCTCAGTAGGGCACTTGGGAAGGACCTTTGCTTCAAACCACGCATTAATAAATGATTTGCCTATCCAAAATCAGGATGTCCATGCATTTTCCATGTCCAGCTTGGACCTATGGGTGACAATGCTTGACTGTTTGATTCTACGCAAAAGTGGTCTCAGGTCTTTTTTGATTGTCATATGATGGTCGCGAAGCCTGAAGAGCAGGTACACGAGTTCAGGATGGGAAGTTCCTAACAAGGGTTTGTCCAAAGTAGGGTGCCCCAGAACCAATGTTTCATCATGTTTCACCATGTTTCACCATGTTTCATCATGTTTTATCAGGCTTAGGCTTAATCAGGTTTCATCATGATTTTCATGATTCAACTTGCAGTTTTTGGGTTTCACTGTTTGTAAAACTATATGAACTAAGTGCCCCATTTCTGGACAACCCCACTGGTTTTTGGCCCATAACATTTGGAACACATTTTTTTGAGCACCCACGAGATGACAACAAGGACAGCCTTTTTAAAGATTACTGGCCGCAGTCTCCACGAGATGGCGATAACTATTTTTCAAACTTTCTGACTGGGATGACTTCCCTGCACTTGGTGTAACTGAACATTGAAACTTTGGCATCCCAGCTCTGGTCCGGTCCAAGGGACAGCCATGAGATCTCTGCCTGCAGGTGGAGCAGATTGCGCAAGCCAAGGCCACCCATCCAGTGGCATGGCTTATTGATTTGGGCCTGGAGCACTGCACGTGTTCCTTTGGAGCGTTGAGGTCGTGTTCTGCTCCTCCAGGCAAAAAACAACCGCTGACAACTCGAACCCCACTTCACCAGTCTCTGATTTGGTTGCAGGATGCTACTGTTTGATTTGGCCGGTGTGCATTCCGAGGGATTTAGTGCTACTTTTTATTACTATTGTAGTAACTATACAACCCACACATGGCCCACAGCTGGCAACAAGCACGGGGTGATACGTGTTGGTCACATATGTTTCATTGCCTCGGTGGGGCATTGAGGTCATGGCACAGAAAGTTCCCATGGAGAATTGAGGGTTCGAGGGATGAAAGATCAAAAAACAACATCAAACAACCATCAAAATAGGGTTGATTGAGTTGACTGATGGTTGACTGATAGTTCACTGATGGTTGACTGATGGTTGACTTATGGTTGACTGATGGTTGACTGATGTTAAATGCCTCAACAATACCCAATGGGACTGTAGGGTTGAGATGGTTGAGAGCTGTTGCGTGACCCATGGGTGGCATCCGATGGCCTAAGGAGACAGGCAAAAACCTGCTGCAGTTTACTTTCCACATTGAAGCCACTGAGCCGCGAGGCATGCAGCCTGGCTGCTGCTAGCTAACATGTAGATGTCACATTGCAGCATGTTGAATGATGCATTGCATGGTCCTGCTTGCATGTTAATTAAGGCAAATGTGCATGTGTGTGGTTTTCTTCCTGATTTCGAGATTTGTGGCCACTTGCGCATGTCAATGCGTATAGATGCTAGCTATACCCATGCATCAGTACTGGGGGAAACTTTCTCCGCAGAGAACATGGCTGATACTACTGCACCCTGGACAGGAAAAACACAAGACTGCATTGATTTGGCTCGGAAGCACGGTCCCTTGATGGCATTGCACCAGTAAATGGATACACCGTGTGTGTCAAATAATATCAAAGGGCAAAACCACTTTTTTTGATTAGCTTGCCAAAATTTGGGGGAAATAGGATTGTGGAGACAGAGGGAGAGAGAGAGAGAGAGAGAGAAATGCTGCAAATGTCAATGTCAGGATGAACACAGTTCTGTCCTAAAATGGTAAAGCGATAGGTTCACCTGCCATCCCAACGCGCCTCAGGCATGCTGGTGGGTTTGGCCTTAAACCCAGCAACACCATTGGAGCCCCTTGGTTCTGGAGTTGTATAAACTTGCCCGCGCAATCCTGTAGGAATCAAGAACCAATCCGAAGCCATTGTGCAGTCTGGCTGGCCGGCCATGCCGTTAAAAGGCCTTGAAGTATTTTGACAATGACATGGTTTAATCCGGCATACCACTAGGCTTTGGCTAGGAATTGGAGGGAGTGGGGAAGGAGTGTCAATATCTCACCATTGCTCCAGGAAAATCCTCCCCTACCTCGACCAGGTGCAAGATGACATGGAGGGATCATTTGGAGTCGTGGTCCATTTAGGAGTTCCGGCTAGTTTGCTAACGTTGTTAGTTGGCTGGTTGAGATTGAGATTTGGAGGTTTCCGAAAATGTGGGTTAATCATCCAAGTCATTGGACCATTTTAGTATTGAAACCTATGGTGACTGGGGGATGCCCCCATGACTTAAGAAACAAAGCCGCCTCCGCAGGTTGATATGACCCTGGTCATGACCGTGGTGCCTGGCAAGGGAGGTCAGTCCTTCATGGTCGACATGATGGAGTGCCTTGGAACATCTATGGGGTTCATATCCGCTTTGGTGATCTTTGGTGGGGTTTACAGTGGTGGATTCTGGTTAATATATTGGTGATGAACGATGATTGGAATTGGCGATACCACCCGGTACTTGCTGCCGCTGAGCACTTCAGGAAGGTTCGAAGCGTGCGAGCGAAATATCCAGAGAAAGTTCCTTGGCCTCAGTAGGGCGGGGCAGGGCAAGTCTTTATTTGTGCTCTTCCACTTTTCTTCCAATTTCATGTTTTTCATGTTTGTTCAGACCTATAGCCATTCCCATCGAACAGCTCAGGAGAATTCAAAAGGAAATTAAAAGAAACAGACATCGGCACTTCAAGCGTGACTCCGCTCATTGTTTTTGAAAAGCAGGAAATGGCCAGTTGTCGACACTCTTCCGATTTGTTGCCCCTTTCCCATCACTTCTCTGTGGAGGTATGATGGTTGAGGCGTGCAAACTGGCCCCCTTAGTGATTAACACCATTTGAAACCAACAGATTTTGGAAGGCTTTGAAAGGCCCAATGTTGGAGAACGGACGTATTGACTGCTATATGATGCCACATGAAACATGGTGTCACATATTTTAATCATGTTTAATCGCATGTATGAAAATATGAGTTGCAACATACTGCAAATAGAATTCCACAGACTCCAAGAGCATACATACCATTTGGTACTTGAGGACGGTTTCTCAAAGGATTCCTTTCGTTTGGTATGTTCCAGATCATATTTTAATGTATTTAACATGATGTAAACGTACACCTGTGTGTTTGTATATGCATGACATGTATGAATACCATAATACCATTGAAAATATTGAAAAGCAATGATTTTGAGTAGAAACAACAATGTCAATGATAGAAATGATCTAGAAGTGGGCCATGTGTATCCGTTGTCCATCCATTTCCTATCCATTTTCGCTGATATTTTGCAGGACATCGAAGTTGACGGGGGCGTCAAGGTCCACACGGTAGATGAAGCCGCCAAGGTCGCAGTGGAACAACTTCTGGGCATCAAATGGCACAAATAGATATACTTATTCATTATACTTATTCATTATGTGATGGGGGAGGGGGAAGGAAGAGATACTGAGTGTATGTGATATGTGTAATTATATATCTTATTAATGCAATTATAGGCTGCATTTGGGCCAATTTGTATCTTGATTCGATGCATCCAAGCAGGGTGGATGTACATGTATAAGCTGCACGCTGCAGAAAGACGGAACAGCTGCCAAGGTAGGAATGTCCATCTCGAATCTCAAATCACTTACTAAAAACCCACATTCAGATTTACCAAGAAAAAGTATGAAAAAGTGATGTTTGCTTTGTTGCTGGTAAACTTGCGTCAACTCCCAACATGAAATCACATCATCATCATCATCATCATCATCATCAATTTTACCGCTGCTCATTTACACAAGTGTTTGAACAGATCTCATTGCGAGGGCCATTCCTTTCGACCCCAGGCAGGTGCAAATATGATTGTGTCTGGCACTGGCGTATACAAGGCAGGGATCTTGCAGTTGAGGCGAGTATATGGTGATTCAAATTTAACCGCACAATGCCTGGTTGGATTGACTTTGTTTCAATTTTCAACAGGTATATGAATATGTGTTTCGGAATATTTTAGATTAAACGTTTAGCCTGTTGTGTATCAAACTTTGGACCACCGATTGCAAACGGACACGACCTTGGAACCACGCTGCATTATGTATATCCATGTATTTGTATCACTATGCAATATCAGTTATGAACAAACTCGCAGGATTTGGTTCAGGCGATCCTATGAACGTTATAATATGTCCATCCATACATGAACTGAGGGGAGGGCTTAAAGCCAGTCTGTCCAACCCCAGCAGAGGTGGAAGACATGGCCTTGGCCATTTCTACGATGAAGAGATCTGTGGAGCTTTACGGACGCTCGGGAATGGAACAGCAGGGAACATCAGGATTAGGTGATGGCAAACGGCCTTCCCATAAGTAGAGTGATATGTTCCAATATTTTGCATATTCTAAAACCCTGCAGTGACCACCATGGCTGAGGTTTTGAACTTGGGTTCGCACTCCATGGTTGTTGGATATCAAGAGCCTTTGCGATTGGATCCCCTTGATTTTCCTGCAAATTCCTGCGCCTCCTGTGCAAGGAAATGGGTTCAGCTCCGACAAACTATCGCCCTTGCGCTATGACAAGGACTTGACAGGAGGCTACGCCTAGCATTTGAAATGAAGAAAAAGCGACTGGCACTTGGGAAAGGCAGTCTGTTTTTTGGGAACTTGAGGGGGGAAAAACATCCCAAAACCTATCGCTGCCATCCTTGGTGATGCAATATCTCCCCGTGGATCTTTTGACCTCCATTGGCAGCTGAATACTTTCGAAGCATGATGGGGAACCTACATCAATCCGGGATACATGAAACTATCAAACCCTCGAATTGCAAAGGCTGCATTCAAAGCAAGGGCGACTGAGGTGTGTCAATGTTGCTTAACTGGCTTCCTCTGCAGAAGCCATTGAGGACGCCGAAGTAGGCACACAAATCTCCAAAAGTGAGATGTGTTATGTTTGAGCTTCCCCTCGGGTTGGATTGGATGACAGAGGTTTGAGATGCTTTATATAATTCTTTGGGCTGCATGGCGTTGATGTGCCGATGATGTTTGACAGCCGATGGATGAAGAGAACATGTCCACTGATTCAGGCAAAATGAGCCATCCCATCAAGAACCAAACCATTTATCAGACACGTCTCACCAGCACAACTGCAGTGGCAAGCCAACAAACAAGGTCAAACATATATAGTTATAGTTCCGATGTAAACGTATAGTTAAACGATGTTAAACGTACATAAATAAGCAATAATAAGCACTTGGATCATTATTTAATCATTTGGATCCATTCTGTCCCCGTGGTTTGAGAGCATTAGTTTTAGTTTTTGTTTTTATTGGTGTGTAATGTCAGATGTTTCATATATGTCCATGGCCTTGTTTCCCATCAGCACTGCTAACATCGGTTTCAAATTCCACAGTCTGCGGTGTCTCTTGGCCAACGATGCCATGATGAAGCATGGCTGGTGTGAAGCCCTCCATGGCAACTCGGAGGGCCATTGGATTTGGCCCCTTTGGCCCCTGCCACGTACAAGGCCCCTGCATGCTCGGTTTGGTGGTTGTTGAATGTTGTTGATTCTTATTTGTTTTCCTATTTATTCAGTGTTTGTGGGATGAAGCTCCCCATTGTTCACTTGAGATTTACATTTGGATGATTGAACAACCCTGAATTCAATGATGGGTTGTGGCCAAGCCTGAGTTGATTTGATACGTGTAGACTTGTAAATCTGGCTTTCCGGGTGATTGATGGATACCGCTTCTGGCATAAGGGCTATATATGTCGGCTATGTGAGGTGAAGCATACTGATCGTGAGGTTTATGATGATGTTTTGCCGCAGGGGAAGGTGCGATGATGTGTGATGCCAGATGATGCGACAACGTCAGATGGATAGTGATGCCAAGTGTGCAGTAAAGCCCTTTTGATCATGTAAACTTTTGCAATCGAACCTGGGTCTCAGGATCTAGATCATGGGTCATCCAATTTGCTTTAATGGGTCATTCCCTTTCACCCCTTCACCCATTCATGCTTTTGTTAAGTGTCCTGCAATTAATATAAACTATGTTCCAGCAGTTGTGTTCACAATGTTCAAGGTTTCCCCCTTATGATTTCAATGTTTTTGGACCCCAATAATAAAAGCGGCCATGTATTTCAGCTTTTGCAACCAAAATGAAACTATATGTGTAGTTTTGTTAAGTAGGCGATTTGGTTCTGATTAGGGAGTCTCGCGCAGCAAATTGTGCTTTGCTTGACCTTTTTATTTGGTTGGATATGGTTGGATATAATTTCACAAAAAAGGATGGGCTCTTATCAGGGAACTTCTTCGCCGAGCGCATCTTGATTGATTTTTGTATCGGTTGATGCAAGAGATTGGACAGGTCTTTTCTCAGTGAGGAAGTTTGATTCTTGTTGGGAACCTCTTCGGCGAGCATATGTTGCTTAACTTCAATTGCTGATCACATGTTTGTTAACTTCGCAAGGTTTTGGGCCAGGTCTTCAAGTGCTTTCAGATTCCAGGTCCGGGTGTGCGCGGACCCCTCCTGTATAACACATGTCCCACTCTTACTAATTACTGTAAAATTCATTATCCTTTGAATAGTTTTAACATGCTTTGACTATTTGGGGGGATTTGAGCATTAACTAAGGAGAAGGGAACTCTTAAATATACTTAAATCAATCCCTCTTTCCATGGAGCTTGACGCCACCCTTCAAAAAGTGGGGCCAGACCATGGTAATGGATGGTTATACCACCCGGACGCGTTTTTCTAAGGGTTGCCAAGCAAGTTCCTCCCGCTCACATGTGCCACCCATGGCCCATGGCCAATAGACAAGGTCTAGGGTCCAGTTGCCAAACAAAAACTGCGGACTCTGCGGACTTGTTTTCTGCGGTCGGGCATGGGGCACGCACATTTGCTGAAAAAAAACGGTGGAAAATCACATCTTGTGACCCATATACAATCGGTTTTTAAAAAAATGCGGACTTTGAATTAAATTAGTTTTCAGCAGAACTCCACTAATTACACAAAATGTGTACCTTACTTCTGCCCAATTTTTTGGCTGGCGGAACTTAGTATTCACCTATGTTTGGGGGGAACTCAGCTTCTGGTTCTGTGTAGTGGACTTCTGCCGATTCAATGTTTGGACCTGAGATTTTTGCGGAAACAATATGTCACGAAAGGTAGCGTCAGCTACCTGAGTTCTCCGTGCTTCAGCACAAGCTTAGGGGGTATTGGGGGGCCAGCCCGTGGAATTCATGGAATTCTCGCCGTTATGTATTGGATATCAATTATAAGGGGGGGGGGCCCCCCCGAAAATGGTCATGGGTTCAATTCCCACGGGTGACGCGGTCACGGGCCCCCACATTAGAGGCACACTTTCCATGAGGGAGATGTCCCTGTAGTCCAGCATAATTGGTATGCTTCAGCCTCAATAACAGTTGCTGCAAGGGGTCTTAAAAAAGGGTTTTAAATATAAATAAACCCCTTTTCGTGCATCATTTCACGCTGCACAAGACACAGTGTCATGCAGTCATGCTCTGGATAAAATCATCTTAGACTGAGCAAAAACGTTTTTGGTGTATCATCTTAGGGGCGCAGCATTTTGACACCACTCCTCTCCCACTACACTACCTTTCGTCCGCCTCCGCCTGCTCTCAAGTTGTTTTTTTTCCGGAACTCCACCTCACAAAATGTGTACTTGAGTTCTGCTGATTTGGGATTCTTATCGGCAGAAACCCATAAATCTAGTGACCCATGATGACCCATGACTACCCATAATCCCCTGCGGCATGTTCATTTCCCAACGTGTACTAGCCGCAATGGCAAATCAATTGATCTCGGTTCCTGACTTTTCTAAAATAGGTTTACCCTTGTCTGACCATGAACATGGGTTAAATCTTCCTTGCGTGCGTATTTGGAATCTGAACTATTTATCCTGGTGCTGTGAAGTTTGGTGCCGAGGGATTGGTCATTTGCACATCCATGAACCATGGGTTGTGACTGCAGTGCACTGGGCCGAGATTCATTAGAAAAGGCGCGTCGTTCTTTGCATGCCATGGCCATTTGATTTCTTTGAACACCATTTGCAAGCAGCACGCATTTTGGTGAGTTGGCACCGGAGCCTGGTGTCATGTTTTACAACATGTCGGATGGTGGCGATTCAGATGGTGCATTTGATGGTTTTCATGCTAATGCTGCCTATGAATTTGACCTCTTCGGCGATGACTACGAAAGTAGTTTTGATCCTGTTGATCAGCATTTCGATGATCGTTCACCTCCGGATGTTGGACAGACCGATAGCAGATCCAGGGTTAGCACATGTTGGCGATGCTACAGTTGCAATGCTGACAACTATACTTGGTCGACCTCCCACAGCAAGTGGACATGCATGGTTTGTGGCTCAGATGAGTTCTATGATGTGACTCAGCCACGTCGGCATGAGACACAGGATGGATGTTGGTTGTACCTGCCCAAGGCCAATTCAGATGACAAGCAATCGACACTTTCAGAACATGCACCGCCGGATGACTCTTGGAACGGCGACGGCGAAAGGAACGACAGTGAGGGACATACTACTGATCCAATTGTTGATCCTGACGCGCTGTCAGTTCAGGGACGTCGACGGCGACGAAGAGCGCGACGAACGAATCAAACACCGGACACGGAAGTGCCACAGTTGAACAACAATACGTCAGCCGGAAACGATCAAATTGTGGATTTGTTAACACAACTGGTGGCGAATCAGAACAAAAAGAGTGACAGCAGCAGTGCATCATGGACATCGAGACAGGGCCCATTCAAAGGGGTTCGATGGCGAGGCGGCACACCGCCATCTCCGCCACCTTGGAGGAACTCCAACGACTTGAGAGCCTTCGCACGTTGGGAGCGCAAGATCGACGTGTGGAGCATGCAGATTAAGCCCTTCATGCCCATGTCAGATGCTGCATTGATGTTGTTCACTTCATTAACTGGTGAAGCAGAGTTGGAAACAGAACATTTGGACATCAACAAGATCAATACATCCGATGGCATCAAGTATCTCATGGATTCATTGAGGGAACCCCTGCAGCAGAAGTTGCTTTTCCAGAAGCGCAAACTGCTTGCTGACTACGAACAGGTTGCCCGGTACCCCAACGAGTCGGTTCGTCAGTTCTCCAATCGATACGTTCGGGTGGAGAAAGACCTTGCTGCCATTGGAGTCTCTACATCTGGAATGTACGACAGCGAGTCACGTGGCAACCGCCTTCTGGAAAGGACTCGACTGACACCGGATTTGCAGAGACTTGTTTTGATTGGAGCTGGGAACACTTTGGAATTTGATCGGATTCGTGAATCACTCAATTTTCAATTTCCTGATTTCCGTGCTGCTCCACAAGTGATGGGCCACAACTCTGGCGGATCCTCAAAAGGGAAAGGCAAAGGCACTTCATCGACTTCATCTACGACCTTGTCATCAAGCCCTTCAGCATCCTCGTCCAGTACGAGTTCGGGCTCAGCTTCCAAGTTTTCCAAAGGAAATCATCCAAGAAGGGTGTACCAAGCTGACCACGAGCCTGAGCTAGATCAGATCCCTGAGGAATCTGGTGAAGCCGAGGACGATATGGCTGAAGAGTTTGAAGATGCTGAAGAATATCATCAAGATGATGATGCCGCTGGAGATGATGGAGAACCAGATGACAACCAAGATGATGATGTGGAAAACTTGGCATCGGTGTTGACGGTGACTTCGAAGAAATTAGCCTCAACGGTGCTTGGCAGGAAGTTCACTGGTCGACCTCGAAGCCTTGAAGAGCGAAAGCGGACTTCAACCTGTGCAGCATGTGGCCAGACCGGCCATTGGGCTGGAGATGCCATATGTGCAGCCTCAGCGAAAACCAACTCCAAAGGAGCTGGCAAACAATCGAAAGATGGCGGAAAAGGCAACGCTTCAGGCAAGCATCAGGGGCAAACCCACACCAAGAAGGCCTATGTTGTCAACTTTCCTGGGGAACTACCTCTTGAAGTACCACATTCACCTGGGGAAGATGCTATATCCGGTTCATCCGCATCATTGGGAACAAGTTCAGCATTGGGGAATCCTTCATCGTTTTATACTTTCACGACTACACATCTAGTTGAACATGACCCCTTTAATGCCTACATCGCCGAAATCATCAACTTTGCCGGGTACATGATTGTTGACACGGCATGCCAAAGATCATGTTGTAGTAGACGATGGTTGGATATCCATAGCAAGATCATGGGCAACTACCGGTTTAGACCCCTCATGGTTGAAGCTTCGGACAACTTCCAGTTCGGCTCAGGAGGGCTGCATGTTGCGAGCAAGCGGGCATATCTCCCAGCAGCATTACCAGGTCAGCCGACTCAGGGTTTACTGCTTGGAGTTAGTGTTTTGGAAGATGCTCAGATTCCTTTTTTGGCTAGCAATGTCATGCTTGAGAAGTTGGGATGTGTCATCGACACGGTACGAGAGCGTTTGCGTTTCGAGTTCATTGGTGTTGACATTCCACTTCATCGAAAACATGGTCACTATGTTGTCAACATTGCCAAGTTCACGCAACATGCACACATGTCAGATGTTTGGAAAATCATGTCAACAGATGAGTTTTTGAAAAGCCCTGATCCTGAAGTGATGATCGCAGCAACTCTTGCACAAGCGAGTGAACACCCAATTCGAGATCCAGCTCATGCAGCGAGTCACCAACGTCCCACCAGAATGGCTTCAGCGCTGGCGGAACTTCATGATCCGCCTGATGACGTTGTGTTTCAGGACACTGCGGAGCATGAGCAGGATGGTGCGACTTCGAATGGCACCACGATCATGGATGACCATGCTGGAACAGCACAACTTGACGTTGGAGTTTCAGGCCGAGAATGCTTCCAGACGTCGTCCAGTCCCAAGTCTTTGCACTCATCCAAGCTTCCGAAGGTATGGAAACAAGGCAGGACGTTTCAGCCAATGCAACGACTGCCTGCTGAAGTACAAGTACAATCAAGAACGACAAGGCTGGGAGGTCTATGGAGAGCAGCCCTCACAGCGCTCATCACAATTGCCACTGCCCTCTCCTTCGACCATCCTGCCATCAACGAATCCGAGAGCCATGGGGTCTCGACCCAAGGCCCGAGCAGCCAGGACAGCTTCGAGGAGCTCTATGGCACCATCAGAGGCTATGACACCATGGGAGGAAGCTGGGATGACCTTCGAGGAGTACGATGCCGCAATGACGAGCGCACCTCATCTGGATTCAGACGAACCAGACGGCTATCCACCTTACGACGAGGGCTACGATTGGACATCGATCGCCTGAACGAGGACTACTGGGAGCTTGCAGCCGGATGCTGCATACGGCATCACCTGGTGCCCCGCAATGAGCTCTTTGACCCCTACGACACAGACTGTCCAGTAGCTCTTCATCGTCTACGACAAGTTGGTGCGGCCGAGATTGAATATGAAGACGGCAAGTTGGAGGTGGTGCACTATAATTGGACAAGGACATCCAACAAGCAGACCTCTTCACCTTGGACTGGCCGCACAGTTTTCCAGTTCAAGGAGTTCAGCAAGAATGACTTGACGAACGCCTGCAAGCGTGGTCTTCTTCAACGACTACGTCATGCAGCGAAACTTCAAGAAGTTGAGAAGGTTTTAATGACCAAGGTCAAACCAAGGTTTCGAAAATCACGAGTCGACCTCCTTGAGACCTTTGCGGGGGCGGCCAACATCAGCAAGCAGGCTTCAGCATGGGGCCTCAAGTCTTTGGAACCGTTGGACTACAACACAGGCTATGACCTTGCCGAACCTGACACCCAACGCCAGGTGACTTCAATGATTTCCAATTACAGACCACTGCTCCTACTGCAAGGAGTCGAATGCGGACCTTGGAGCATCCTTCAGGACAATACCAACTATGTTCACCGCCCAGATGAGCTTGCAGAATGGCGTGAAACCATCCGTCCTATGATCGATCAGGTGGTCAAATGGTGCGAGCAGCAGGATGATGAGGGCCGATTTTGGCTCATTGAGAACCCAGAGACAAGCAGACTTTGGAAGGAGCCTGCTATGAGGAGATTGCTTGCAAGACCATCGACGAGGACGACTACATGCCACGCTGGGGCCTATGGAGCTGTGAACAGCAAAGGCAACATGATCAAGAAGCCACACACATTTTGGGGCAACTGCCCAAAAATCCTCGAACAACTCGGCGACAAGCTGAATGCTGAGGAATGCAAACTATGTGAACCACTTCAAGGACGAGAAACCACTTTGAGCCAACACTACTGCCAGGGCATGGTTGATGCGATCCTGCTCGGGCTACATCAGACAGCCGCAGAACAAGATCCAATGCGATCACATTCCTATGCAACCTATGCCATCGACTCCAACGAGGTGAACCAGTCTTTGGAGGCTTGGCAAGAACTCTTTGACAAGGCCGAGCAACTGTTCAGACAGACCAGGATGAAGAACATTGTGCTCGCCCAGAGCGACAACTTTTGGCAGGACGTTCGCAGATTGGTCCCATGGCACACCCTTGAAAGGGTCCAGATAGCAAAACAGCCTGCCATTCATCGATTTCCAACACATGTGCCTCACACTCATCGAGGTTCGGCATTGCTCTTCAACGACGGCTCCAGAGATGTGACGGTTGAGGACCTGACCGACATTCGATATCCCAAAGGACGATTCCAAAAACCAGTCAACATTGGCATATTCTTCTTTGGCATGGCCCATTCTCCTCAACAAGGACCAGATCAACAACAGCCTCAACCTGCTTCAGTACAACCGCACGTTGAGGACAATCCCATTGCCAGAGCAGATTTCCTTGATAGAGACATCACTTTCCCTGAGAACAAGGACTACAACAACGATACAAAGAACATCGTGACAAGACTTCACAAGAACCTGGGACATCCACCAGCAGCTGAACTGAAGAAACTACTGGCGATGAACGGTGTTTCCAACCAGAAGATCCTTGCGGCCGTAGATGACCTCATTTGCGGTTCTTGCAAAAGGACCAGAGCTCCATTGAAACCCGCACCTTCGTCAATGCCTCAGTCAAACTTCAGACAGTTTGCAGATGCTATCCAACTCGACATCGTCTACATCCGCGACATCACTGGCCAGAATTTCCCTGTTTTGGGAATTATCGATGAATGCACCCATCTACACCAAGCATGCATCCTTGAAAGCAGACTGCCTGAAGAAGTCCTTCGGAAGTTCGTCCAGACTTGGTCTCAACCTTTTGGATTTCCATTAGTCTGCCGACTTGATGCTGATGGAAGTTTTCGAGCAGCCTTCGAAGAACATTTGGACGCCACCGGAACATTTGCTGACTTCGTTCCACCAGAAGCTCACCACAGAATGGGCCTGATCGAACGGCACAATGCCACCTTGAGGGCCATCGCTGAGCGCGTGATTGATGCGCAAGGCGTTGTGGGCTTCAATCAGATGGAAATGGCCATTGCAGGAGCCACCTTTTCAAAGAACTCATGCACTTGGTCTTCCGGACGGCCTCCCTACATAGCTGCTTTTGGACGGATTCCACGACATGGGGGACTAGATCTACTTTCAGACCAACACGGACTTGCAGTTGGATCCACACAGGGCCAGATGCACCAGTTGGCTGACACCTTGAGGGCCGAAGCTCAGCAGCAGATTGCTGCGATGACTGTGGATTCCTCTTTTAGACGAGCTCTTTTGAGGAAAGCCAAGCCAAGCCCCGAGGATGAGTATGTCATCGGCGACACTTTGGCATACTGGAGATGGACTACAAGAAGTGGCAAGAAACGTGGTGGCTACAAATTAGCCAGGATGTTGGGATTTGACCCTGACGGCAAATCCTTGTGGGTTCAGTCTGGAACCAACACCATCAAGCTGGCCCGTGAACAAGCCAGGAAGGCCTATGGTTTTGAAGCTTGGCATCCAGACCCATCAGATCTTCAAGCTCTACGTATGGCATCTGAGAACATCAAGAAGGGCATTTTTGATGACGAGACCATTCCTATTCAGAACGATCCATACCAGGAGCTTGGGAATGATGACCACCTCAAAGAGACCTTCCTTGAACCTGCGCCACTACCAGCTCTTCATCCAATTCAACAACTACAACCTGAACCTGCGCTTCAGGTGGTGCCACATTCTTCAGAACTATCTCAACCTTCTTCAGTACTACCTGAGCTACCTCAACAACCAGAGGCACAACAACATACTCAGATCAACACACAACAAGAAATTAGCAATCAACATCAACAGACCAACATCCACATAGAAGTGACATCACCAACTTACAGACAAACAATCAATCAACAAGCAAACACTTTTGGACTCACACAAGAACAGCTGAGACGCCCAGCTGTGAGAACACCAGTACGCAGAAGAAACAGAAGCAGGACACCTAGCAAGAGAAAACAACCAGCAATACACGAAACACCCGACATACCTGCAGCACCAGCAACACCGTTGTTGGACACACAGCTACAAGCATCACACACACAGAACATACAGCCAGACACAGCAGTCGTGATATCCGACGACGAGGTCGGTGACACAGCGCCAGTCACACCACCTGGCATTAGCCAACAGGCAGGAACAGACACAGCACCAGCACCTCTAACACCGGCAAAACGACCGCTTGAAACACACACAGGGCCTAGCACACCAAGGTCGCGAACGTCTCAAGCAGCACAGCCAAACACAGAGGTGCAAGCAGAAGCAACATCCAAGCCTGATGCTACAACGTTTCACAATCAGCTTGTCAATATGGCAGCACCAGAATTCAAACAAGCCTACACGGCTAGCATGACAGCACCGAATCAGCACAGCCCACAGCACTGCAAGTTTCACCGTACAGCAACTCAAGCATCGATGACCTACACAACAGAAGGCATCGAACTTAGAGACAAACACTTCGATGGCACCGAAGAGATCTACATGCCACACAAGAGCAACACGTGCTTCAAAGCATACCAGGCAAATGCAGAATATGAAGGTGACGGCATCAGCGATGACTCAGACGTATCGCAAGATGACATGTCCACCTCCAAGGCACAACAACCGTCTCTTACACGACAACAACAGAAAGCCTTGGATAAAGAACTGCCGTGGAGGACCATCATGGAACGTGGGGGCGACTATCTCCAGGCATTCATCGACGCCACCAAAGCTGAGGAGACATCGTGGATGCAGTATGACTCCGTCGAGCCCCTCTCCAAGGCCGAGGCAGACAAGATCATGGCTTCAGCTGAAGGACGAAAAAGGATCTTGAAGTCTAGGGCAGCCTTCAGAGACAAGGCAAAAGGGGCTGGCCCAGTTCGGGCCAAATGCCGAATTGTGGCATTGGGTTGCCTTGATCCAGATCTCTACTCACTGAACAGAGACAGTGCAACGCCAACACGTCAAGCTGAGATGATCATCTATGCCATCTTCATCTCAGGTTACAACAAGAAGATGGGACAAGGAGAAGTCACATGGACACTATGGGCAGGAGACGTCAAGACTGCCTTCCTCCAAGGAGAGCCCGAGCCGAGGCACGCTCCACTATATCTGTCCCCACCAAGAGATGGTATATGCATTGCAGCTGGCGTGCTACCTGCACCTCTATACAGAATCAAGGGAAACATCTATGGGTTGGCTTCAGCACCAAGAACGTGGACAATGCATGTCTGCCGACGCCTCAAGGAATGTGGATGGCAACAACATTCACTTGACAAGATGCTGTTCTTTTTGTACCAGCGTCCAGCCGGCTTCAAGGAAGAAATCCTGGTGGCCGCTGCAATTGTCTATGTAGACGATTTCTTAGTGACGTTCAACGAATACTTCAATCACCAGGAACTCCTCCAACTATTCAACTGGGGTAGTCAAACCGCTTTGACCACCGAGAACCACTTGGAATTCAAGGGGAAGGAGATTTACTTGCGCTATGACAAGCGCGGGTTCTATGTCCTGGAGGTTAAACAGCAGAAGTTCATTGAGGCCTTCAAGAGCGGCAAGATTAGTGGCAAAAAGGATGACCCTTTGAAACCCAGTGATTTCCCAGAGTACCGTTCAGTGGCCGGAAGTTTGCAATGGGTTTCTGGACAGACGCGTCCAGATGTGGCAGCGACAGTAAGCTTGCACAGCAAAGGCAGTAAAGCACAGTACAGCGATTTGCTGGCAATGTATGATGCAGTTGAACATCTGCGGAACACCAAGACCAAGGGCTTCATCATGAACCCCGTGAACATTAATCAGTCCACCATCGTGGTCACCTACTCCGATTCTTCATGGGCGAATGCGGAGAACTATGCCTCACAGCATGGATGTTTGGTGCTCCTCACAGATACGCGCGCTACTGAAGTGGCAACACATGGTTGCCTGATTGACTGGAAAAGTTCAAGGTCAAGCAGAGTTTGCCGTAGCACTCTGGCAGCAGAGGCAAGTGCAGCAGACACTTCAGTGGACCGATCCAGTTTCTGCAATTTGATGATCTCAGAGATTTTGCAACGCGTGCAATCCTTTCGAATCACTCTTCCTCTGCGAATGATCCAGGTGACCGATTGCAAATCTCTTTACGATTCAATCATAGCAGAGAATCCGTCCGTAGAGGACAAAAGGACGATCATTTCAGTGCGAAGCATTCAACAATACATCACTGCTGAAAATACCCATTGGGTACCCACACATCTTCAGTGGGCGGACGGTCTCACGAAGTATAGCAAGAAGCTGATGACCATTTTCCATGATTGGCTCCAACATCCCTACATTCTTCTCAGAGACCAATCCCAAAAATAAAGGGAGTGTGAAGTTTGGTGCCGAGGGATTGGTCATTTGCACATCCATGAACCATGGGTTGTGACTGCAGTGCGCTGGGCCGAGATTCATTAGAAAAGGCGCGTCGTTCTTTGCATGCCATGGCCATTTGATTTCTTTGAACACCATTTGCAAGCAGCACGCATTTTGGTGAGAGGTGCAAGAAGATGCAGACCAATGTTCCTCAAACCAGGGAGACATTTGGAGACAAGAAAATGTATGTACAATGGAAAGTATTTGTCTATGTTACAAAGAAATGGTAATAAACTAACCATTTTAATATTGCAATGTATATATATATATTATTTATTTATATATATATATATATATTATATGCGCCGAATATAATGTAAGTCGCAGTATGTTTCATTTTGGGCTTATTGTAGTGCATTGTATAATGACTGTCATGGTCAGCTATCCCATAATCGATTGCAAAAGTGTATGTTCTCGTCCAAGTGCAGCTTCTGGAAGCAGTTCGGTTCTGTGCTTCATGCGCAGACTCAGAATACAGCATCCCAAATTCATGAGCCCCTCTTCCTCGGGCAATCTTGGATGAGTTTTGGTGGTATCATCCAAATTGTTGGTTTATTGGGCTTCCCACAATTATTTGGATCACCGCAGGAGCTTCTCCACCTTCCTGGACTCGGAGCCTCCACTGGAACAGACCTCCACGGATCTGCCATTGCCACCAGCCGCCCGACGGACAGCTGAGCTGGCCGCCCGCTTCCTGATGCGTTTGGGCGGGCAATCCGAGGACGGCTGTGATGCCAGCGATACCCCGGAGAACCCAAGAATAGTCAAGAAATCAACTTCAGTTCATTCCTGACAATTCCATAGAATTCCTATCAACACCCCAGTTTTGCAGTGATACCATGTTAACACCATGGTACTGATTTTGCCGCTTGCCTTTGTATGGAGTACAGGACCCCTTTTGTTTCAGCCTGTGGGGAGTGATTGCCTTTTCTTGCCAGTTGGGCAGAGCAGTATCGGAGCAGTTGTTCTTTCGTCGCCACTGGCTGGCCTTTTTACCCCATGCGCAGCTTGTTTGGCCACCTCCTCTCCCAGTGGAGAGTTTGACAGGATGGCATGGACTAGCATCGATATTGAAGTGCAGTTGTTTGAGGCCCTTTGGACTGTTTTGGATGGCTTAGGCTTAGACCCCCACATTGGAACTGGCAAGATCTGGCAACACCATCCAGCCTTTGTCGCAGGACCTGGCGAAGTGGGCCGCGGACCCGGACACCGGGGCCGCCGTGCCCGCCGGGGCCCCGGTCAAGTCCAGCCCAACGTCGCTGCTCCGGCGCCAGGATGGTTGCTTGGCTTTTAATTGCCAGGTGATCGGATGAGATTTTTAACTCCAAACCCCAAAAAAAAAACGTTCAAAGAGGGTTAAAAAAGCGTTAAAAAAAAACCTTCAAAACCGTCCGGAAGCGTTCGGAAGTGTTCTGGAGTGGAAAAAAACGTTCTGGAGTGGAAATCCGTTCAGGAGTTCTTGTTCTCTTGAATTTAGCAAAATTGATCGATTTTGGCTTTCGTGTGGAAATTTCCACGATCAAGAGGATCCATATAAATATATATATATATAGGGTAGAGGCTTGAGGTTCCCCGGAATGCAATTGAAACTGAGCTGAGAAAGATTTGGAACTGTCATGTTTCACTGCGTTTTACAGTGTTTTGTGGTCTTCATGGGACATGATAACACATGGAACGACGTCAACACGCAGACAACATACCTGGGGTATGTTGTCCGCGGTTTTAACATGTTTAACTATAGTTTTAGGTTTTTCAGGTTTTTTATTAAATTTGTGTAGAAACCAGTAGAATTGCGTGTTGGCACGTAGAATTTCAGTGTTTTCATGGATCCCCATAAAAACATTATATTTCCCCAGGCAACCATGGGCGAAATGCGCATATGCATATCCTTTTTTCCTCTTCACATCCACAAGGCCGTTTTAAGGCATTGGTAGGCGCAACAACACCGTTCACTTTCTGACGGTGGCATCTCAATGCTTCAAAGTAACAACATCTTCCACATAGTCTTTTGTTGAGGAAACTTGGTAGCTATATACTACTGGAACCATATGTGAAGTTGACAGTATAGGATAGAATCGTTCAAGATGTGAAATATTTGACTCTCTACCAACCGCAAAAACTGATTCAAACCATGCTTTCTTATATGCATTTCCCAGAAATGATCCCATTTGAGGTTAATGGGCGAAAATGTGTCTTTCATAAATATTCATTATATTTATCTTCCAGTGCATTGGCCCAAGCTCAAGGGGTTGGCAGTGCATGAAATGAAGACATGACTGAAATCGAAAATGAAAAAATACCTTACTTCAAGAAGATTGCCGATTTCATCCCATCTAATCCTATATATTTTTTGTTGAAAAATAGGATAGCACTTTTAACCTTCATTAACATCATAATATATATCTATATACACATACATATACTTATGTATGTATATATATATATGATTGAGTGCGCGTTGGCAAAAATTTGCCACTCTGGTAGACTGACTGAGTGGCTGAGTCGGTGGTCCAGTCACTCTTAACAGTGTGGCTGAGTGGCTGAGTGGCTGGTGCAGCCACTCTAGTAGAGTGACTGAGTGGCTGCTTCGATTCCTCGTGCCGCACTTCTCATCCATTCTTTATACATACATAATCGTATATATACATATATATATATATACAGTTATATACATATATATATATACATGTTTGTTTGTATTTTATATTTACCCTATATATATATATAATATGTATATATATATATATACTATATATATATAACACGATATACATATATTAATATATTATGTTGTTTTTATTTTGAATATAACAATATATATATATATCAAAATAATAGTAATTTTGATAATAATATTTATATATATAAAGTATAATAATAGAACAATATATACATATATATCGAACTATATTTGTATATGTATATACTATAACACATTTTTACTACATTTTTTCGGATTGGATCCTTCCTGATTTATGGTTTGCCACAGGGCCTCTTGACCCTGTCCAGAGTTCCAACAGCCATGGCCATGAGACACCCTTTCCAAAGCAGAGTTGGTTGTCATCTCCAAGTTGTTATTCGACTGGTGGTTGCACAGATGTGTGTGGTCTAGCCAGTTCGATAATTCGGAATTACCCTCTGGTAATGACTAACATAGCGCTATTGAAAATGGTGATTTATAGTGAGTTTTCCCATTAAAAATGGTGGATCTTTCCATTGCTATGTGGCTGTTTACCAGAGGGTAATATCCAGTTTTCAAACAACATTTCCTCCACCCTAAGGCGATGAGCCCAAGGTGCCAGAGCACAAGGAGGAGATCACCTCGGAAATGATGGGGGTGGTTCAAAATTGTATCCATCCCCAACACTACTGCAAATCTGCGGGAACTATGCAAAAACTATGGTTAATGAACGGTGAATTTCGATGAATTTAGTGGATCCATTGGTCTCCCATGTGTGAGCATAGTGATAAAAAAAAAAACAACTGATGGATTGGCTAAGTGCTCATGAGCACCAGCAGCTGGACATATGTTTCTGAGGTTGTCCCTTGTTGAGATTGATCTAGTAGGTCAGAGGTCCTAGGGTCTCATTTTTGTAAGGAAAACCGCTGGAAACCGGGTCAAAGCAGCACAACCTCCACAGGAGCAATCGCCTGCAGATGCGTATGACCCCACAAAGATGCTTCCCCAAGCTGGAAAGGACAAGGTGCCAGAGCACAAGGAGGGGATCACCTCGGAAATGATGGGGGTGGTTCAAAATTATGTCCATCCCCAACGCTACTGGAAATCTGCAGGAACTATGCAAAAACTATGATTAATGAACGGTTAATTTCAATGAATTTTGTGGATCCATTGGTCTCCCATGTGTGAGCCATAGTGATTAAAAAAAAAACAACTGATGGATTGGCTAAGTGCTCATGAGCACCAGCAGCTGGACATATGTTTCTGAGGTTGTCCCTTGTTGAGATTGATCTAGTAGGTCAGAGGTCCTAGGGTTTCATTTGTTGTAAGGAAAACCGCTGGAAACCGGGTCAAAGCAGCACAACCTCCACAGGAGCAATCGCCTGCAGATGCGTATGACCCCACAAAGATGCTTCCCCAAGCTGGAAAGGACAAGGTGCCAGAGCACAAGGAGGGGATCACCTCGGAAATGATGGGGGTGATTCAAAATTATGTCCATCCCCAACGCTACTGGAAATCTGCAGGAACTATGCAAAAACTATGATTAATGAACGGTTAATTTCAATGAATTTTGTGGATCCATTGGTCTCCCATGTGTGAGCCATAGTGATAAAAAAAAAAAACAACTGATGGATTGGCTAAGTGCTCATGAGCACCAGCAGCTGGACATATGTTTCTGAGGTCGTCCCTTGTTGAGATTGATCTAGTAGGTCAGAGGTCCTAGGGTTTCATTTGTTGTAAGGAAAACCGCTGGAAACCGGGTCAAAGCAGCACAACCTCCACAGGAGCAATCGCCTGCAGATGCGTATGACCCCACAAAGATGCTTCCCCAAACTGGAAAGGACACGGCTGGTGAGTCTGCCAAGGCTTTGACAATGGGCTGAAGCATGAGGGATCGCATCCGCAGTTGATATGGGTTCGTCCAAAATGGTGGCTGTTCACCCCAATTGATGGGGTCTTGCAAAGCGAAAGCAGTGAACAACATCGATTAACCGGTTTTACTGTATAACCACGAGATTTTGAGGTATACAGTCCAATATTCAGACAAAGCCGGGTCTTCTAAGAATCCCCATATCGATAGGTCCCACACCTTGCCTGGAAGATCATCCTCAGCTAGATGATCTACATCAACTTCATCTACATTGCATACAGCACTGCATCTCGTACATCTCTGAAAACATCATCTAAAGTAGCTACATCATCTATATCAACTTCATCTACATCACATGCATCATCAACTCATCAACATCAGCCACAACAACTATATCAACATCAACATCACACCCCCTGCCCCCAAATAAACCCTAAATGGCTAGTTGAGCATAAGGACTCCGAAGGCAAGAGACTAGTAAGATCTAGCAAGAGCCATTGCAGTTGAAAACATGACGTGAGGAAACAATCCCTAAATGGTGCCTTTTGTTAGTGCGCGCATCGCTTTAGAACGCGTAACCTCCCAAAGTGCTGCGCTTGTGAGTAGCCATGATGCCCTGTTTTCGGGCTGTGTTCTGAAGTGATGGCTGACATGGCGTTCTGAAGTGATGAAAAATTATCCTAAAGTGATGGTGTTCATGGTGTTCTGAAGCGATCCTTTTGCCGTCAGAAGTTTTCAAGACTTTCTAGGTTCATAAATTTGATGTCAACATGAAATGCCCCAACGTTCCATGTTGTTTAGGAAAAAATCCGACAGACCTCAAGAACCCTCAAGATCTCTGCAGCTCCCATACGTTGCCAGGCTGCCGACACTGCCAATGCCGACGCTGAGGACCCCGCTAAGGCGTTGCTGGCAGAACAGGACCCAGCAAAAGCCCTGGCTGAGAAGGAGGCTGATGGAAACGACTCTCAACCGCAGTTGGAGATGGTGTCACTGCGATGTCATTGTGTTTTTCTTAGGTGGGGACCTGAGAAGATTGGAGATTTCGATGCGTGATCCTGATTTGGATAGGATCTATTGACGATAATTTCTGGAGATTTTCATATTGAAATATTGAATCTTATTGGATTCCATGAAAATTTGTACGGTTTGTTGGACGGATTGACTCCATGCCATTTGAAGCTCCACGCATTGAGCCCCTCCAGCGTTGAAGGCCTTGGATGCTGCAAAGCTGGAAGGAAACCACGAGGCCGTGGCAAGCTGGACGATTTGGGCATTGCTTTTGTAGCCGTAGCGCCGTAGCAGTTTTTTTTGTCCTCTGGGCAGCCCAAAAAAAGGACTTTCTGAATGTCAGGAGCCAGAAGCGACCGCAAAGTTGGCTGAACATGGCAACTTGGATGTGTCAGCTGCCCACCAGTGAAGGGAGTGGATGGCAAGTGGTTTACGCAGCTTCTCTCCACCAACGGTTGCATGATATTCTGCAGTTTTGCAATAATGATTGAGCGACAAAGGGTTGGCAGTGCAGAGGTGTTTCCTTTCAAACTTTTACTTTTCAGGTTAGAATATACAATAATATACATGAATCGTGAGTATATATCACGAAAGGTAGCTCCAGAGGGGCTACCTTGAGTTTTGCTTTACGAAGTAAAGGGGAGGGCGGCCAGCCCCGTTACCTGATTCTTCAGGAGATTGCTAGTCATTTTAGTACCCCCCCCCCTCCACACCTCCCACGCACCCTAAGAGCAGACTCAAAACATTGTAATTTACAGTATTTTTGTTCTTTTCGGATCAAGAAACCACATTTTGCTACATGGTGAAACCTCCGTAAATACCAGTGTTTTTGCTAGGTGCTGGCCAAAAAACACTGTAAATACCGTGCTTTTTACTACCAGAGGCAAAAAAACATCGTAAATACCGTGGTTTTGGGCTTCCGACCCGCCAAAAACATCGGTATTTACGGTGTTTTTTGCTCCGAGAGTTGCAAAAACACGCGAAAACACCACCGATTTGACGATTTTCGGCCACTACGGAACCGAGCAAAAACGCTGCAGGGGTAACACCAACACCAACAACAACAACACCAACAGCAACAGCAACAACAACAACAACGACGACAACAACAACAACAACACCAACACACAACGCACAATGCACAACGCACAACGCACAATGCACAACGCAAAACGCACAACGCACAACGCACAACACACAACACACAACACACACACACACACACAACACACACACAACACACACACAACAACACACAACAACACACAACAACACACACACACAACACACACACAACACACACACAACAACAACACACACACAACACACCACAACACACAACAACACACAACAACACACAACAACACACGCAACAACACACAACAACAACAACAACAACAACACAACAACACACACAACAACACAAACACACACAACACACAACAACACACACAACACACCACACACACAACACACACACAACAACACACAACAACACACAACAACACACAACAACACACAACAACACACAACAACACACAACAACACACACAAACAACACACAACAACACACAACAACACACAACAACAACACACAACAACACACAACAACACACAACAACACACAACAACACACAACAACACACAACAACACACAACAACACACAACAACACACACAACAACAACACACACAACAACACACAACAACACCCAACAACACACAACAACACACAACAACACACAACAACACACAACAACACACAACAACACACAACAACACACAACAACACACAACAACACACAACAACACACAACAACACACACACAACACACAACAACACACAACAACACACAACAACACACAACAACACACAACAACACACAACAACACACAACAACACACAACAACACACAACAACAACACAACAACAACAACAACAACATCAACAACAACAACATCAACAACAACAGCAACAACAACAACATCAACAACAACAACAACACGAACACGAACACGAACAATACCAACACCAACAACACGACCAACAACACCAACACCACCAACAAACCCAACCACACCAACAACACTAACAACACTAACAACACCAGAAACACTACCACCACCAACAACACCAACAACACCAATACCAACAACACCAACAACACCAACACCACCAGCACCACCAACACCACCAACACCACAACCACCACCAACCCCAACCACATCGCCGAAGCCTTTCAGTCGCTTTTACCAGACTCCCCTTCATATTTTTGGAAAGAAAATGGCCGCGTCGCTTTTACCAGACTCCACTTTATGTATTTTTCCCTCCCCTCTCCCCTTCATTTTTTCTTCGGTTCCTTTCTTGCTTACCTACCTTTCGTGTTCCCCCTCTCAAGTATATATATGTATCATTATATATATCTCTAGATTTGAATCTATTTGATCTAGTTTTTTTTGATTCATGTTGGAACACAGCGGTGCATGAGCCACAGAAGATTCTGACTCGAAGCAGCTCCGTCAGCGGATCCTAGGCGAAGCGCATGGAAAAGCAGCAAAGGAAGATCCATTGACCGACGTCGCTGGTCTTAGACCTTTTGGCAGTGAAAGTTGGGACAGCACAAGATTCTGCAATGCATAAAAGATCATAAAAGCACATGAAAGATGTCCAGAATCATAATATGGGATGTCCAGAATCGGAACAACTAATATTCTGAATGCAGGGGCTACCCAGAGAAGTTGTTGGCCGGACCCATCCAGTCGATTCATGTCGATTCCCTGGCCCATTTTATTTCACTGGCACCGTCCATATGTCGCACATTTGGGGTGCATGCCCATGGTTTCCCACAGCACAAGACAGAACATGCCATGGCAATCACAGCAACATCATAGCAACATATATAGCATCCCCACCCCGAAATGTAACTCACCTTTGTCGGGCTGTTTTTATGGGGTGCTTGTAACTTAAAAGCTGTCAGGTACCAAAAATCAAGGATTGGAAATGTAAGTAGCGACCCCCCAAGGCAAGGCCCCGATCAAAGAATTCTGCATGTTGTGACCATGATGATGAGGCAACAAATTGTAACTTACATTTTTCCTGCTCCCCCACCCTTTTTTTGGTACCTGACCACATTTAACTCGCCATACCATTTCTTTTCCGAGCGTGGGCTTGATTCTAAATTTGACCCGTTCCAAACCCTCATCGCCCCATTGTTGGGAAGCACGAGCAGCCCGAACGAAGCAAGGACAGTCTAAATCCTTCAACATCTTCAAGGTACCTAGGGAATCCTAGGAAACAAACATGTAAGGTCTCTTGGGGGAGGTTCCAAACACCTGCACAATTCTCATGAACAACAAGACCTTATTAAGACCACCAACTATACATTTTCCATGGCCCACCACCCAACCGCTGCTGCAAAACATGCACAAAAGTCATAAAAGACATGGGAAGCCACAAAAATCAATACAATCCCAGCTCCCAGAACCATCCAGAACCCCAAATCTTTCAGGTTCTCAAACACAAAAAATGTAAGGTCCCTTGGGGGAGGTTCCAAACACATGCATTTTGTCCGGGAAAACAGGACCTCAGCACCACCAACTTAGATTTTCCATTGCCCACCAGAAATCTTCAAGGTACTCAGGGAATCCTGGGGACAACTGCGAGATGAGTTGAAGGAGGTTTCCCTGGCTGACCACCCAATGCAAAATGCCAGAATCTTTTCCTAAGACCATTCCACAAAAATTGCACCTTCAAAAATGTAACTTATATTTTGGAAGGTCTTACCTTCTAAACGTAATATTACCTTTTTCAGGTCCCAAATTTCAGACCTCCCTAAGTGTAAATACATTTTTGAAGGTACTGATTTTATGGGTTTTTGGGAAAATGTAAGTGACATGTTCGAAGGTTTTACCTGCCCCAAATGTAAGTTACATTTAAAACGGTAGGGATCATATAGCAACATATAGCAACCCATTTATTGTAAGATCTTCTAAGGTTGTGGTGGACCCTGAAAGTGGCCGCTTGGATGCAGTGCAATGTGGGCCGTGAAGAAAAAGACTGGTCTCCACTCTCCACCTCCCAGCTCTTGACTTGAAGCCTGGGCGGAGGAGACATCTTGGACGGCAAGACAGGGCAGGCCGTTGACCCCTTAAGTGGGGAAGTGGTGGAGGATGGTAGCTACATCGATGACGACACAGGCAGGACGGTTCCAGTCAGGTGGTTGTACAATGTTGTATACAGCAAATTGTAGCAGTCCTTTGTGCCAGAAAGTCGGTGGCTTCAAAGCTGACTTTGCGGCAGAGCATAAATTCATATAAATTCACTTCAAAACCCAATTACTAGCTGCATCACAGTTCAAAATTGGTTGAACAACCAAAGGCATTTCATTTATATGCAGTATGGTCCTGCCTGACTATGTGTTATTTGAATCGAACTGCGAACACTTGTAGCATTTGCAGCATTTGCATCTCCAACTCTGACAGGCTTGGCTGTGGATCCGTACAAAGGTCCACATGGGCAGGGCTAATGGGCTACAACTACTGGGCATGTTACAAGTACAGGGGTTTGTTTCATACTGTCCCATTGCCGGGCAATGCTGGACATGTCCTCCCTCTTGGCGAAATTTTGAAAAGCGAGACCGACAGACAAAGGTTGAAACCCATGAATGACATGGCAAGAATAAAGGCATCCTTACTGGATGCACAAACGGCTTCAAAAGGACACAAAAGGCAGTGGAACTCCATGCACATGAGATCAAGCGATGATGTTTTGTGGACATGAGCTACCAACATCTACCAACAGATATTTGCATCGCGAGGGGACGTTGAACCCTTGCCAAACCTCGAAGTGACCGAAATGAAGGCTATGTGTTCAACGTGCTTGGTTCATTTTTTTGGTGCCGACCCTTTCTTGTTTGGACTCACTTAATCATTTGGATCTTGGTTCATTGATGTTCATTTGTGTGTTTTGGGCAATTCAATGCTTCTTGTAGCTGCACCCTCCACCGGGCATGTTTGCGAAGGCAAGATTTACGAAACTTGGCTCCGTGTGGGATGTGATATGTGGAAGGTACCATATCATGAAGTCGAGCCAGATATGCACACTTGCCACAAAGGGCCAAGGGTTATTGTATGTTATTGTAATACATCGCAAGAAGGCTGGAATTAATGTGGTATGTTGTGGTCCTATGTGGGCCTTTGATTTCTCATTGCTAGGGGAGTTGGGAAAACTCAAGCAAATTGTGTAATATTCGACTGGAGCAGCTGCGTGTTAAACCCTTCTGTTTATGTTTGCATTATTTGCATTGAACCCACTGAGAAAGTCGGTGCTACGTGAACTCAATGAAGCACCATAGATTTGTCAAGATCTTATGCGTGCTCATGGGTCGAGATCAGTTGACATAGGCAACATGGCTGACATTTGAATCGAACCTATATATATATGTATATATATATATAAATATTATGGAGTACTTGCCACGCTTGGTATTTTGGTGGTATTGGCCTACCGGCTAGCACTTGGCAATGCTACTTGGCAATGCTGTATGGCCTTCCTGTCAATCAACCCAGTCCCACGCATTGTCGAGGATCCTTTGACAGGCCAAGGAAACGATTGAGGCCTGCTCGGCCTGGGGGGTACCAGTATTTCTGAGGCCAGGTTTGCCCCAAAATCTTCAATTGCTTACAGTACTGGATATATATATACATTATTATATATATATTATATATTATATATTATATATTATATATTATATATATATATGAACCAGTTATGGATTTAAAGTTTAAGGCATGTCTTTGCAAAGCCGTGTCTTTCCTTTCAGTGCGGAATAAATGAGGTTTCACGGCAACTATTCATAGGCCATTCACCATGAAACCCGAGCAGCCTTTGGTTCCCCCATGCAGCTGGATGCCGATGGGCAGGTGTCACATGCTGTTCCCTGACATGATTTGACTTCATGCCGCAAAAAGCTGTGCAGGGGTTGCCTGTATGCATCTGTTACCATCAGCTTTCTTGACTGCCAAGTTATGCCAAGCTGGTAAGGCTGGACATTCAATTGTTGCATTGAGTGAATCCTTGCTCTTCAGATTCTGCAGTTCGGATGTGCTAAGCAACAGTGTCAGATCAAATTTTGCGCTTACCCTGCCCTCATCAGCCATTGGCAGGACTATTTTCCTGTTTGGGAAATTGTGGGAATATGAAACAGCAGCCATTCATAGCTTCTCTCAGACAGGATCTCAGGATGCCAGGTTTGGCTCCAGGTCCTGGAGGGAAATCGGCTGAACATGTTTGAAAAATGAACATGATTGATATGATACCAATATGTCTTGATAGTTTGGGTGTGTGGATTGAAATTCGAGTTTTCCACATGGACACATGCAAAATCTCGTAAGGATTGACGTTTCCATGGCCTTTCCCATACGCCATACTCTGTGTGAAATTGGCACTGAAAGACTTTGTGGTTCAAAAGGCAGCGCTGTAGCTTCTGGGCCGAACTGCGGGCAAAGGCTGACCGCAGAATGGCTGGTGCGCAGCTGAGTGCTTTCCCAAAGTCTCACTGTGGCAATGCATGGGGGCCACGGCATTACCACCCTAAGTGGATCCAAATGGCAAAGAAAAGAACTTGCAAATGGACAGAAAGACGACAGAATGGATGACAACAAAATTCAACAAGAATACAACATGTTGTATTTTTGTGGAGTTTTACAAGTATCCGATGCTATCATATGTGATTCCATGTGATTCCAATATGCTCAGTAGCTTGCATCAAACCAAAGGCCGTTGGTTTTTAATCAGCTCAGGTGATCAAGGCCGTTTGCGTTGATCACATGGCAAAGCCCGGCACCGAGAAATGCGCCAAGGCGGGCTTGCTCCTGGGATTTACATGACATGGAGATGGAGATGCATGCCTGCACAAACTATATTGCAATATATTGCAATTAATTGCACAATAGAATTTCATATACCTATAATATACATATATATATACAATTTCATATGCACTATATATTTTTAATTATACATATATATATGCATGCATGTATAAATGCATGTGTATGCACACATATTTGTGTGACATATGTACACACACGCACACACACATATATATATATATACATATATATATATAGAAGTATGCGTGTATGTGTGTGTGTGCGCGCGTGTATGTGCGCATGCATGTACACATTCCCGCAGTCATGATACGACTGACCCGCACAGAAAACCTCATAAGCTCACAACTTCCGTCCAGGTTTGGACGCCTCCACAGGCCGCCGGTGGTAAAAGGTAGATGCACGACTAATAGTCTCCCCTGGTTGCTTTAGAAGGTCAGTTTGGGGCGCAGTTCCTGGCAGGTCCTAATGTTTTTTGATCGGTTCGATGATAAATTGCATGTGATCCCATGAATTCCGGAGAACATCACGAACATACGTGGGGTGTCCATTGTCCTTTTTGGCTTAAGTTTGATAGAAATTGGTTCACTCCCTTTGCACCTGGCACTTGCTGCTGCATTTGTTTTGAGCCTCAGACACTCCAGTTGCCAATTGAAGAGCAAATTGAAGAGGGAAATCACCATGAAAGAAATGACCAATGACCAGCAGGCAGTGCAGCCGGGTCAGATCCTGCGACTTAGCTGCCCAGTGATGTGTTCAGTTGTTTGGAAATCAGCAGCTGGGGTTCAATTGTTTGGAAAATAGATATGCCCCACTTGGGATTTTGGCTCTTTAAAGACAGCACGAGTCTCGGGAAATGCTGTATTTGAATAATACGAGCAATTCCGGAGTTGCAAGTGAAGAAATGTGTGGTTGGAATTTTGGAATTTGATGTTTGAATTCTTTGAACATATGAAAGTAGGCAGTGAAGCATTTCGTGCCCCCTGTGGACAGGATTTGGGATACTCAGCGGGGATGAGCTGGGGCATTTGTTGTTGCCAGGCAACCGAATTTCAACGTGGGGGAGCTCAGATGGATCCCAACTTTCAGAGTTCTCTGCCAAAGCTTCCAAGCGAAGCTATGGAACCATAGGAAACCACCAGCGGTTGCATGATTTCTATATATATATACATATGTGCCCACAACAAGACCCGACGGCGAGTGACAAGTTTCAACACAAAGGGATGTCGGATTGGTTTCAGTGTTCCATTCTGGTATTGTGTGCATCGCCCCGCAGCTGTCTCATTCTGGCTTTCAGATGCTTAGTTATTTGAGTGACAAACGAGCTGAAGAGAGACTGTGAACAGAATCTTGGCTCTGCAGACTCTGCAATATCCGGAATTTGTGCCAGCAACGGGGTGGCAGTGTTTTGGAAGTGTTGCCGAAGAGGCTCTGTTTGACATCAAGATTCTGTGGGAACAATGGAAAATCATCCACCAACTGCCCATGCAAAGGCGGATAAAGGCGGTTAGGACTTCCCAGGGATGGTTTCAACAGTTGGCCTCACGAAGCTTAGCCCAGCGTCATTGAGAACACCTCGCTAGTTTCACATGAAGATCCCAAAACTATCCAAGACTTATCAAACATCAGAGAATATCACAGTCATTAGACTGGAAGAACAAATCACATCATGCTTCAATGCTGCTGACCCCTTTACCCTTTGGATCCCTCCTTTGCCCTTTGGTTCCCTTTGTCAAGTTATAACAGCTATGAACAAATGGCCCATTGATGTCAACCTAACAGCTATGAACAAATGCCCATTGATATTGATTGATAGGTTATTTACATTGATTTCCCCATTAAAGTCCTTTGAATTTCCAGATCTCCCCGGTAGAGGGATACCGGACTTCTTCAAGGGGGGGGTGCTTCTTCTTCAACAAGGGAGGGGGGGACTTCTTCAAGGGAGGGGGGGGACTTCTTCAGGGGGGGGGCTTCTTCTTCAACAAGGGAGGGGGGGGGACTTCTTCAAGGGGGGGGAGGGGCTTCTTCTTAAGAAGGGGGGGGAGCTTGTGGTGGTGGTAGTAGTAGTAGTAGTAGTGGAGGAGGAGGAGGAAGAGGAGCCAGGACAAAGCGTGCGGGTGGCGCGGGGGGAGGGCGCAGCGCCTCCCCCCGCAAAGCATTCCATGTTCCTGGACAGGAGGAGATGGACACAGAAAGAAGTAGAGAGAGAGAGGAAAGAAGAAGCCCCCCCCCTCCTTCAAGAAGCCCCCTCCCCCCTTTCTTCTTCTTCTTGGGGGGGGGCTGCCCCGCACTGAAGGCTTCCCTTCAAAGAAGCTCTCCCTTGAAGAAGCCACCCCCCCCCTTGAAGAAGGGGGGGACCCCTACCCTATCGGGGCGGTCTCTGAATTTCCTACCCCTGATTTCCTCATTAAAAAGTGGTGATTTTCCAGCCAGCTATGTCCTTTACGTCGAGGCACATGGGTCAGGGCTTGGACGTGCTGCGTGCCTGCTACCAACGTGAGGTTCCCGTTGCGGTGTCGTAGTGACTTAGTGCTTCGACGTGTTGAGGGACCTGTGGCTTTGACAAAAATGGGGATATCGGGATACCTCACAATCCAGAGGTCTATCAGTCTATCAGGTTTTTCGCCAGGAACATTTTAATGGATTGTGTGGGTATGCCCAATTTCTGGGTTGGGACAATGATGATGAATCATTAAATTTGGAGTGACTTGGTTTCATGGAAACCCAACTTTTGATCGAAGGATTGGAGCTGTGCACCCCTTTTTCTTTTTGTCTCAGCAGGGTTTCACACCTGTCCAACTAAAACTTTGTAGTTCAACATGCAGTGAGTTTCAACAGCAGGTGCTTTGACCTGGTACCCTCTGGTAATTTAACATAGCTATTGAAAATGGCCATTTATAGTGAGTTTTCCCATTAAAAATGGTGATTTTCCATAGTTATGTGGCTGTTTACCAGAGGGTATTCCTATTATTCCTGGATTTATTGTTGCATCATGCTGAATCCATCGGATGGGTTTTGGCCCCTCCCAGCTTTATGATTTGGACACTTGGTTCATGCGAAGATATTTGCGTGTAAACCTTACATTGGATAATTGCTGATTATCATTGAACATCCCATCTTTGATGCTCAGGCTTATCTTGGGTATCAACCTAATACATCCTAATACCACAAAGGACATCGTATCACCAAATATCAAAATCATCCGGATACCCAAGAAGTAGGATATCATATCCCAAAGAATCAATGCTCGGAATGCCAGGACCGCAGCGCCAGCCTATGCTGCGGCCGCCGCCCGTGGCGCCCAGCCTCGGCCGCTGGGCGACTTCCACCGGCCGTGCGGCAGTCCTGGAGCCCAGGACTTGCGCACGATGACGGTGGGGCGGGGTTGGGGTCATAGGGTAAATCATGTAAATCCATGTCATGGGGTCAGGTATAGTTACAATTTGTGTCAATTTGTCATAATTAGTCCAAGAAGCAATCTGTAATTTTGGTGTAAACTGATCCAAGAACCTACTGCAATTTTGAGGAGTTTGTACCACCCTTGTCTGGATAAATTTGGATTCTTGAATTATTTGGTTTACAACATGACTTTAATACTATTGATTGTTCGACGTAGTTGGGGATGTTCACCGGCCGGGAATCCCAACTCACCTTGTGGACTTAGTAGATGAAAGTCTATAAATGGATGTACTGAAATTACACAGGGTAGAGAGTTAAGCAATAGCTACCAGTTGCTGGATGACCGTTTCAAATGGTGAATTGATTGCATGTTCAAACATACGTACAGTAATTGCATGTAATTGCTAAGAATGATGATTCTTTTTTGGGGGGATCGGTTAAACTCACCTATCAGGTCGATAAGTACGGCCCAATGGCTGAAACATGGGGGACCGATGGCACAAAATTGTTGAGTTTTGCTACTTGACCATTCCAAAATGGGTGGCATTTTTTTGAGCCTCACTCAGATGTGGGGTGTGGTTGGGACAGTTGGGATCACAACTGCATGTAGCAAAGAGGTATGAATCCGCCGAATATATGAGTGTGCTCGGCGCGACGTTGACGGTTGATGTTTATTGTATAGGTGTCTAGGTGTCGCTGCTTTCATGGCATATGCAGGTTTTGTGTGTTTCTTCTCCGATTCCATTCTTGGCTGTTTGTCTCCTGCTAATCCTTCATATGCATGCTCTGCTTCGGTGCCAAATTTCCATTTGGATACATTAAATTTTGATAAATTCTGTGTACAATATACATATTGTGTATAATATATATATATATATATATACATGTATATACACGCATCTATTTGTATATATATATAAAAGAGGGAGAGAGAGAGAGAGAGAGAGAGAAAAAAAACAACATACATACTGTATATACATATGTATACAATATTAAATTATATATTCAGTATACCTTTCCGAAATTCTATTTTTCTTGCAGTTTCGGTTCTGCTGCACAAACCTTTGTAGACTCAGCGGCTTAAAACAGCCTGGCAGGTCTCCTTGAAAGAACGGGACCGGTGCAGCACTCGACCACGCTGCTGGGGCATCACATCGACTGGCCCTTGAGCCGAGCAGAAACGCGGCGCTCTACGCGACAGCTGTTGTTTTGATCTTTTGAAAGGTCAACAGCCCTGGGTTGAATGGATTTGTTGATGGATTTGTAAGGGAAGATTTGGAGAGATTAGGGGAGAATACATGGGAACCCCCTCATATTTGGAGGTAAAAACTGTGTTTTTTTTGTGAGTTTAACCTGAAACCAATTGTGAGTGTTTGGAAAAAGTGGGATGCGTAAGAACTAAATGGACTAGATGACAATCAATTAATGTCTCAAAAAAATAAATCTCTGAGCAACTATCTCACCATGTTGTCCAAAGTCTATACCCACACAACGCCGCTTTTGCATGCCGCTTGAGGAACGTCTTCATTTGTTGATAGGTCCGGTGGCCTCAGAGGACGCTCTGATATCAGTGACCTTTTTCCGAGACAGCACACATCAACCAAGGTCTATACCAGGATGAGGAGAAACCTGCCAATGCTCGCGCAGCCACCATAGAGGATTCAGATTTGTAACATGGCCCAACAGCCCAAGGGGTCGTGGCGCCCCTTGTCGTTTCTGCCATCATCACTTGAGATGTGCAGCCCCTTGTCACAGATTCACACAGAAACAGGTGGACGCTGCAAGTACAATTGATACAATTTAGTGAACACTTGGTGTTTTTGTGCTTGTTTTTGTGTTCTTGTTCTTCTTCTGGTTGAAGTTGTGGCTGTGGTGGGTGCTGGTGCCGGTCACGGTGCTCATGGTGAGCTTCATGCTTCCCTTGGTCGTTGCTGAGCTGAGGCAGCTGCTTTCTGATCAAATTGCCCATTTGTCCGAGCTTGTGGAGAGCTACTTGGCAGATTTTTTTCAGGTCACTGGTCGCTATATGTTACATGTTACGCTGTTATGCCTCCAAATGGGGATGATTGCAAGTGATATTTTGGAGATGTGCACTTAAACTCGACGATGAGTCGCACAAATGCACAGGATTGGTCTTGCTGATTAGATGGATCATGCTGAATCCAAATTTGCCGCGCAGTCCTTATATATATATATTGTAGAGAATTTATATAAGAATGACTTTGCCCCCACGGCTCGCAAACAGCTTTGGAACATGTTTCTTGATCAGTTGAAAGTGGTAAGACAAAAGATAGAAAGGTCATGCCAATTGTATCAAAATTGTAAATTGACCTCAACGGACTCTTCCTGCAATTCTCAAAGTAACCTCATTACCTTTCGTTGCATTTATTGCGGCACTTTTGGGGTTGGCTCATTTTCTGCACCAAAAAAGCCTTGCCGAGGCTCAAGGCGTGAACAAATGATGATGGCAAGCTGCAGCATGTAGGCTTGGAAGCCACTCCCAGGGCTGGGCTGGGCTTGGAGTTTCACAAGGAAACCACCACAACTATCCACAACTCATCCGATGCTGGTGATGCTGATGTTTCTGCGGATGTGATCATGACGAGGATGAGGATGATGGTGATGATGATGATGATGATGAGGAGGATGAGAATGAGGATGAGAATGGGAAGTAAGCTATCGAACTGGAACTAACCAGAATTTCCCCGTTTACACCAAGAGTCTTCGGAGCAGCACTTTATATAGATGTGAATATTCCTAGATGGGCAGATGGGCCCCTCCGCATTTGAAGGCTATATTTTTCCGAGTATGCCAATATGAACCGTGACCGGTGGAAACCAGTTACTCAGTCTTCATTGTTTCGCATCGGTGCAACTTGCGCACGGATATGTCAGCCAATCCAACTCCACTAAGAAGCAGTGCTCTTCTATTGTTGTAATGTTACATCGACAATAGTAAAGGGGGGTCCCCCCCCGATTTTTTTTTTTTTAGGGGGGGAGGTCTGCTTTGCAATAGTAAATCGAAAATCCCAACTCTTCCCCAAAGGCTTCTGTAAGGCTTTGACAAATCCTCTCTTTTCTGATGGGCTCTGATGGGATCTTCATTGGATTCTGATAGGAAGAAGGGAAAAAATACCTGCTAGAGCCAGGAAGGTTGTTTCTTATTGCAAGTGCTAATTCCAGTTTTTAATTGCAAATGCCAGGACCTGCAAGGGGGTACCCTTTGTGGACCTGTTTTTGGCAATTTTTTAAAAGGATTTTAATAAAGAAAACAACTTTTTTGAACAAGGTAAAGTTTTTTTGATTTGGTAAAGGATTGCTTTGTTTTGTGCTTTTGAAAAGCATGCAATCACAATTTAAAACCATTCAACCACAATTAAAAAACACTAAGGAAGAAGGGAAAAAAATGCCTGCTAGAGCCAGGAAGGTTGTTTCTTATCATAAGTGCTAATTCTAGTTTTTAATTGCAAATGCAAGGACCTGCAAGGGGGTACCCTTTGTGGACCTGTTTTTTGCAATTTTTTTAAAGGATTTGAATAAAGAAAACATCATTTTTGAACAAGGTAAAGTTTTTGATTTGGTAAAGGATTGCTTTGTTTTGTGCTTTTGAAAAGCATGCAATCACAATTTAAAACCATTCAACCACAATTAGAAACACTAAGGAAGAAGGGGAAAAAATGCCTGCTAGAGCCAGGAAGGTTGTTTCTTATCATAAGTGCTAATTCTAGTTTTTAATTGCAAATGCAAGGGCCTGCAAGGGGGTACCCTTTGTGGACCTGTTTTTTGCAATTTTTAAAAGGATTTGAATAAAGAAAACATCATTTTTGAACAAGGTAAAGTTTTTGATTTGGTAAAGGATTGCTTTGTTTAGTTTTTTTTGCTTTTGAAAAGCATGCAATCACAAATTAAAACCATTCAACCACAATTAAAAACAGTAAGGAAGAAGGGAAAAAATACAGCTGAACTGTAACTGGTTCTGATTTTTTTCCTGCATCCATACTAAATCTCAATTAGCTCCTTTACAATTTAGTATTGTAAAGTCTGATAATTTGGGAATTTTCTGAAAATTATTTATAGCTATTGCGAATGAACCACATTTATTGCAGATGCTCTGGACCAAGGTTGATGTTTGTAATTTAAAATCAATAAGGCCTAATTTAAAATCAATAGGGGCTGAAAAATCAGATTCTGAAAATTATTTGTAGCTATTGCACGCGCTTTACTATTGTCCATCCAACATTATTCGGTGTTGGTTTGGTTTTTTTTGTTTGAGCGACTGTTACCCTTTCAAAAACCCTGGGCAATGCTAAGGCGCCCTTCAACAGGTTTTTGGAGATTTGGAGGGGTTCCAAAGTCCATACGGTATCAGTATTGGTTTCGGGGAGACCAAATTCACCAGACACTAGTGGCTGATTTCGATGTTGAATTCCTCTCACATCCTCTGACTTTTTATGGGGGAATGTGGGTTGATATCACCCAATGGTCACATATAAAGATATAATTTTCCATCGATTCGCAATGACTCATGTCCCTAAGGATGTTCAGGTGGGTTGAAACAATTGAATCGCGTATTTTTGTTCAGATTCGTGCGGGTAATTGAACTTTTGTCGCACAGATTGTCAGGATATCCCATGATATCAATTTCACTCGATTGTAAAGGATGAATGATGCATCTCCATTATACCGTGCAGAAACCATCCAACCAGTGAACGCCAGGGTCGCCTTCTTCAAACACCGCCGCCGGACAACTCGTGGCGCTCGGCGCCGTGTGAGTTTGTAGCACCGCAGTGGGAGAATTGCAGCCCTTGATTTTTTTGTTGCGGTTTCAGCAGGGGTGAACCTATATGGATCTATATGGTATATAAAGGAATTTCTAAGCAGTTAGTTGACCAGTTTAACGTGTGTACTGCAATTATTTTAGGAGGATTTACTTTCATATTATCTTTTTGGGAGGTTCTATCCTTTCATCCTTCTGCATAACAACCATGGATTGTGGAAAACTCACTGTAAACAGTGTCCAGGGGTTCGTGTTCTAGACTTACACGATGGTGTCAGGTATTTGGGGGAGCCCACTGTATGGTAGAGTTTGACTACTATATATATATATATAATTATATATATATAGTTATATATATATATGTCAGGAGATAATCGTAATTGGTTGGTCGGTGGATGTCAGTGGATGCTGGTGGTAACAGTTCTTTTTGAATTCCTCCATCCCTTTGGTTTAGGTATATAGTTTTTTGTTGGCCTACTGGATGCACACATTTCTCGATTTGTTTGTAAATAGTATGTGGCATGCCAAAAGAGGGTCGTCAACAGCCCATGTATCATGGACAATGGTCATATGAGTCACTTGCTATCCATTGCTATCCAGTTCGCATTCAAAACTGTTGATGTTTCCAGAAGACACTGGTGAAGGCATGACCAGTGCATAGAGAGAATGTGCAGTTATTATCCTGCACCCTATGGCAAACACAGCACACAATTCTCAAAACTTTTGGCCGCAGATGTCCGTGTTTCAGCAACGAGGCAGGATTCATTTGGCTGCAAAATTTACTCCCTTGATATCCCTAAAGTCATCTAAAGTCCCTCAGAGGTTTCCATGTCATAGGGCATCCTGTTAGTTCTCCAATGCCAGTGCTGAGCCGGAAAGGCTACCACCAGCACTGAGCTGCGACGCCGAACTGCAGGCACAACAGTCAACTTTCCTCCGTCCAACGCCTTCATGGCTTCCGTCACGTCGTTACACACGTTCGATCGTAGCAAAAGATGAATTAAGATTCACGTGCAAGGCTGTCAAATGTCGATAGCCACAAAAGTGCTGGTAATGGACCTGTACGCAGTCCAATATACCGTGTGCTTGGCACGTCGGCAGTGTCGGAAGACATTGGCACTTGCACTGTGTGCATCATCAATTATGGACCGCATGTCATATCAGGCTTTCGAACCATTTCTATGCGGTCAGCGTTTTGCTTGTTTATTCTTTCATGGACGATTCCATGCAGTGGCCAACACATTTTTCAAAGTCAGCGTTTGTGACAAGCTCTGAGGACATGAAGGTTTGCTGGGTCACTGATTTCCACAGATCCTGAAGTCTGCAGATTGACTTACGATGATTTACTTTCATTATTTTTCATTCCGATCACTTTTCTTTTGGTGACCCTTGCATTGGATACTACTGCTAATGCCGCTTGATGTGAATTCCGCATCTTTGGAGGAAAAAACACGTTCCGCTAAGCTTGTGTGGGGATGGTGCATGTCAGCCCTGTATGGATCTTCAGGGATTCCAGTATGCCAGTGAACTTCTTGTTGATGATTATGGTAGTTGCTCTCCATCCAAAGAAGCGCCTGGTGCCGATGTGGCGCGGTGAAAGAACCTTCTTTCACAATTTTGGTGCTGCAGGTACTTTCAAGGCTTTAAAGCATCCAAATACAAAGCTCTTCCCATACCTATGAGTCATTTATGGTTAGAGTCTGTTAGAGTAATGTAGCATTATATATATAAATATATATAAATATATATAAATATATATAAAAAATTATATAAATATATTTAAATATATATAACTATATGTAACTATATATAAATAATAATAATTATAATCATTATACTCTACCTGAAAACCCCATCCGATCCCTTCAGGCCTTCGTTCATCCTTTGTTCAAATCCCTGGTGCTCCACCCGTCTGCACCGAGGTCACAGCGCTCGAAGAGTTGGAAGGCACCGCTACTATAAGTTAATACTGGTAGCGTATATAAATATATATATATATAATTGCATATTCGATATGTGTGTGTATTTCCATTTTTTTGCAAGCATATACATACACACGCACACACACACATACATAACATACATACATATATATATATATATATATATTATATATATATGTATATTTATAAACAATATTATAAGAATTATGATGTCTTATTATGGGGAACCTCTAACAACCATATACTGTGTAATGTGTATGTATAGGGATTATGATCTCCCATTATGGAAACCTCTAACAATCAGCCAGTATTATAATGGATGATATCAATGGTTGGCTCTTCTCAGCTTTCGCTTACTAGGTGGCGGTATCTTCAATTTTTCTGTGAGTGACGTTGATGTTTGCTGCTGAATATCCCGTTCTTATATGGTGTTTTTTGTTCTCCAACTGTTTTTGTATATGTTTGTATAGAGTTGTTTGTTTATACATATGCACTTGTTATCTTCATATACCTTAGTGTGCATATGATTCATTGATCAACATTTCTACACAATTTTATGATTATATATAATTATAAATGTGTGTGTGTGTTTTAAAAGGTAATTCCATCCCTTCTCCATGTGTATTTGGCTAGTTGTGAGTTGATTCATGGTGATCCACGGTGTTAACTTTGTTGCCCCCAAAAGTTGTGAAACAACATGCGTCATGTCTTCCCCACTGAGTGATGCAAGTGCTAGGTGGTTGACTGTAATCGAAGGTGGTGAATACATGTGAAAATTAGGAGAGTCTTGGGGCATGACGGGATCGCATCTCTTGATTTGCACAAGTCTGAGGCCGGCTCAATGGCTGACGGCTGACTGTGACTGTATTGAGAGAGACTACCACAAGTCGCCCAAGTGTGCTTCTCTATTTCCCAGTTTTGAGCCCTTTAGAATCCCTTTAGTACATTAATGCCCGGGGTCAGATCATGGATGCACCCAACAGGTTCGCCCTACTTGTTGAGCGCTGATGGCAAAGGATCTGTAACCTGCTGGGACTTGTCGCCAGGTTCTCAGTTCAAAAAATCGGGGAAAACCCAAATTCCATCAATTTCCCATTTTGATGGCTGGATATGGCGGGTATGAACCATCAATCCATAGGGCTGCTTTTTGACATTGTTTTAAATTTACTATCATATCATGTCGGTTCTCTTGGAGATTGCCTAATTGATTCCATGGTTGGGTGATTTCCAGTCGCTTCGAAATCACCTTGAGGCCCTTCTTGGGAAGCTACGATCCCGTGCTGTCATTCGATGCCCATGACAAGGGCATATCTCAGGCCGTGTCACCATGGGCCTCACATCATCCCACATCCAAGCTGTGTAGAAGACGAATGGTCCGAACCAACCAACTACCATTGAGTAAGTTATAACAACATTAACATGTTTTATAACTTATAGCATTTTGTAATATGTTGTCACATGTTGCAACGAGGTTTTGGTTTATTTATTGTATGATGTGGTAGATCACCCAGCCAGGTGTTGCAGCTGCGGAGCCCGCGGCTTCCTGAAGTCTTGGAGGCGGTTATTTGCCACTCCTTGGCACGGATTTTCATCAGATATCAGATGAGTGGCAAAACTCAATCATAATAAAACATATCTTTATAAAATCATTGCTCAATCTGATTCGATTAATCTTATAAAGAACCTTGGACTTGTGGCCTGATGAGAGCAATCATGTCATGTGATCCACTTGCAATCCACTTGCATTTGTTGGTCTTAGAAGAGCTGTTTCACGACCAGGCCATGATGACTGAAATCTCATGGTTTGTATGATTCCCAAGGTTGTAGCATGGCTTTGCTTGAAGGTAGATAAGGTGGGCTACACCAAAGTTGATTGTTGGTAGAGCATCTTCCAATCTTCCGAATGAAATTGCCATTTTGGGGGTAGGCACAGTCCATTTTTTAGGAACACCATATGTTTCAAAATATGTTTTTCAGAAAGGCACAACATTTGGGGGTAAGCGAAAGCCTTCGAATCTCTTGCCCTTTGTGGCTCCTTTGCATCGCTGCAGGAAGCCTTGTGGAGCCAGTCGTCCTTTGCTCGGCGGAGTTTTTCAATGACCGACATGGCAACATATGGCAACTATGCTACTACATCGATGGCTACATCAACATCAACTTACTTATATAATCATGTTATCATGTTAAATGAACCTGATTATTTACTTGCGAGCACCTGTTTTTCAGGGACCCGGGGCCTAGTTGGCGGGCACATGTGAAAGTCCAGCACTTGAGGTCTTTGGCCCGTCGCCTCAGTTTTGATTTTCAGACCTTGGAGGGAGGCTATGAACGCAGGTTCCACATGGTTCCACGGTCCCGGTTAGGGGACGCCCCACACCAGAGTTGATAAATACTTTGTAAACCATGGAATGATGTGGAATGCACCAAGTCGCCCCGGCCATCTACGTATAGTCCACGCAGCATGCTGTGTCAGCTACTGGCCCAGGCAGTTGGATCCACAGCAACTGGAGCTACTCAGGCGTGTTTTTGGACCATGGGAAACATTCTTGGCATGTCCATGACTATAGCCTAGCCGTATAGCCAATCAAAGATTTGGGGTTCACCGGCTTGGGACTCCAAGCCAGAACTTTTGGCAAGGGCAGACCTGTTTGAAGGTCAATGACAGTCAGACAGATATATACCAGTTGGTCATGAGTCGACTCCATTCTATTCATGTTCAATTCAATAGTGATGATGTTCACTTTTGCATTTGACACTCGCCAACACTCGATTTATCATCGCTGATTTTTGTTCAGATGTTTCAGGCCTTTGAAGCCAGCAGCAAAATATCATAATTATAGCAACAATATATAAGAATTATTTATATCATATCATATCATTTCATATCATATATGGTCATATCATATATCACCGACATCATTATCGTAGTCATGATCATGATCATGATCATGATCATTGCCATCATCATCAACATCATCATCATCATCATCATCATCATCATCATCATCATCATCATCATTATCATCATCATCATCAGCGTCATCGTCATCATCATCATCATCATCATCATCATCATCATCATCATCATCATCATCATCA